ACCAAACCAGTGGGCTGAGAGCAGCTCTTACCCTCCATTTAAGTCTGAGGAACTTCACTTGGTCAAGGCCACATAGTTGGTTAACTGATTTTTATAGATTCTAAGTGTATGTTCTGGTTGAAAGGATCTCAAGGTCATGTTGTTCAGTGAGAAGAGGTTTTTGTAAACTGAAGACCATTATGTTAAAACATTGCGGACCTCCCTTCGTGTTCCTGGAATACTGTTGTGCGAAAGTAGGGCCTGGTGACAGACAGCAAGGGTAGTGCTGGAGCTTGTGGGAAATGCAGACCTTCTGAAGCACTAACTCCATCTCTCCCCCGAAATTTATTTTGTTGATGATGAGAACATACACAGCAAAACATACACTGATTCAACCACTTTGACTGATTGCATTGAAAATTCAAGTGGTACAACTGTTCTTACCCTCCTTTCTGAGTGGTTCTCCCCACAATAATAGAAACTTACTCTTCCCTAAGGTTTCTATTGCATTTTCCAGTTGCTCTTGTCAACTTGATTCCATACAGATAGTTCTTAAAAGAGCACAATGCTCAAGATTTTGTTTGTTTGTTTGTTAGTTAAGCTAAACTGTTGTTTGGTTTTAAGATGACTTTAGGGGATATTTGTGGTTTAAGATTTAAAGATGATCTCAGGGACAAGAGTTCAGGGTTCATCAACCCTCCATGGCTCCAGAAAGTCTAGAGTCTATGAGAATTTGAAATTTGGTTTTATATTTTGATTAGGATTATGTGATCAAAATGCTCAGGAGTAGTTGCGTGGGTACCATCCAGTTCTTCTGGTCTCATGGCAAAAAAAGGCAGTTGTTCATGGAGGTAATTAGACACACCTTCTATATCCTCCTCCTGTTTCTGACTCTCTTACTAGTTATTGCTTCAGGTGAACAGATACCAATTGTTGTGACTTGGATGGCCATTAGCAAGTTTTTCAGACCCGAGGCACTATGCAAAGAACTAGAAAATAGAACAGAAGCACTAAACATGTTATTAACCCAGTTACCTGGGATGCCCCATGAAATCGTAACTCTAAACCTTCAAACTAAGGAACCAAATCCCATACTGCTTTGGTCATTGTAAATACAAGGAGCCTCAAAAATTTGTGGGAAAATGGAACTAAAATAATTTTTCCACAAAGTATTTGAAGCCCCCTTGCTGTAGAATAAGCACTGGACTGCAAGGTTGGCAGTTTAAACTCACCAGCTATGAGTCAGAACCAACTCAATGGCAGTTAATAACATTTATCACACAACTTTTGCAAATTCTACTTTTGACACGTGTACAACTTATTGATAGCAATTACATGAGTCAACTGTGCGGCCCCACCCTAAATCAATGTGATTTTTCCATTGATATTAACCCCTGCCCCTTTCCCTCTCTCTCCTGCTAATAAACTTAAAGGTCTCTATGCACTTAAAGTTAAGGATTGGTTTTCTATTTCTGTAAAGGCTGTTGGGAGTTGTGATTGGGATTGTGTAGAATCACTTTGGGTAACACTTACTTCTTAACAATATTAAGTCTTCCGATCCATGCAAACAAAACGTGTTTCCATTTACTTACGTCTTCTTTAATCTTTCAGTGTGCTTTCTGTTTTCACTGTGTAAATCCTTCACATCCCTGGTTAAACTGACTCCTAGGTGTTTTATTCTCTTACATGTTATTATAAATGAAATTATTTCCATCAAATTTCTCTTTCAGATTTCTTACTGATGGTATAGAGAAACTCAACTGACTTTTGTCTGTTGACCTTGTACCCTGCAACTTTGATTATTTCCTTGATTAGCTCTATTAGTTTTCTTGTGGACTCTTTGGGATTTCCTACATATAATACTATCCACAAGGAGAAAGAATATAACTTCTTTTCCAATCTGTATACCATTTATTTTTCTCATATTATTAGTCTGCCTGTAACATCTAATATTAAATAGAAAAGAGAACAGACACCCTTGTCTTATTCCCAATTTCAAGTGGAAAGTTCTGTCTTTCTCGATTAAATATAATATTGGCTACTGGTTTTTCATATGTCCTCTGAATCATATTGAAGAATTTCCTTTCTATTTCCATTTTCTTTAGTGTTATCATCAAGCAAGGGGCATCCATAGAGATGATCATGTGGTTCTTTTCCTTCTATTGATATGGTATATTAAGTTGATTGCTTTTCTAATGTTGGACTATCCCTGCATTCTGAAGTAAATCCCACTTGGTTATGGTGTATTAATCTCTTAATATGCTGTTGGATTCTGTTCACTAGTATTTAGCTAAACTTTTTACATTATATATATTCTTAAGAGTTCTGGTGTGGCACTGTAGGATAAGCACTGGATTGCATTCAGCTAGTATGTTTCCTCATTGACCTTCTTCCTAGATATTCCTCCAATATTGAAAGTGGTGTATTAAAATCTACTACTGACACTTAACAACAACAACTAGCGTAGTGGCTATAAGTCGGGATGCCAACCTCAAGGTCAGCAGTGTGAAGCTACCAGCTGTTCCATGGAAGAAAGATGAAGCTTTCTGCTCCCGTAAAGATTTGAAGCCTCGGAAACCCCGTACAGGGTCACTATGAGTTAGAACCAACTCTATGGCACACCACCACCACTGTCACTATTAATGTAGTACTATTTCTCCCTTCAATTCTATCAGTGTTTTCTTTATATATTTAGGCATCCTAATGTTGGGTGCATATAAAGCTATGATGGTTCAATTTTCTTAATAACTGACCCTTTTATCACCATATAATGCCCATCTGGAGTACTGGTGTGGCTGTGTCTGATAAGCACTAGACTATAAGGTCAGCTTGAACGACACAGTTGGTAGTTCAAAACCACCAGCTGCTCCTCAGAACCCTATACATGGTCGCTATGAGTCAGCATGGACTCATGGGCACATGTCAGCAAAGCCCAGCTGTGTCTTCTGACGATTTTGTCTTTAAGGCTACTTGGTCTCTCAGGAAGACTGCTGCCCAGCTCTCTTCCGGTTATTATTTGCATGGATTTTTTTTTTTTAACCAACCTTTCACTTTCCAACCATTTGTGCTCTTGGGTCTAAGGTGTGGCTCTTGTAAGCAACATAAAGTTGGACCATGTTATTTTTTCAGATCCATTCTATAACTGTTTTTTAATTGGAGCATTTAGCCCATTGTGATTACTAGCAATGACTTATTTCTGTCATTTTTTGTTATTTATTTGTTGTCTGTCTTTTAGTACTGCTTGCTTTTGTGTTTATTGTAGTGAGCCTTTTTGGTTCCCTTCTCCTTTCATGTATTTAAAATATATTTAATGTGATATTTAAGAGCTTGTATTTATCAAATTCTAGGGTGTGCTGGTATCAACTTCAGTAACATACAAGAAATTCTGTATCTATGGCATTCTTTTCATTCCTCACCACCTTTTGTTATCATTAATACACCTTTACATTTCATGTGCCCTGTAACATTTTTATCCATGTCTTTCCTATATTTGTTATTAAAAAGCACGAAGGACAAAATATTGAATATCATCAAACATTAGTACCTTATGATGAGCTCGTGTACTATCCATGCATTTCTCTTCACATAAAGCTCTGCTTTCTGGTCTCTTCCCCCTTTGCATCTACAGGACTTCTGCGGGGGCAGATAGGGGAGAGTGTGGTGGATATGCTCACACCCTCTCAGCTTGCTGGTAGGGTCTGCGTTTTAACAGCATCCACAGGTAATCTGCAGTCACACGGAAGCTTGAGAAGAAGGGCTCTAACCTGCCTGGAAAGCTCCTCCCCGGGTTGACAGCTCACAGCTTCTTATACTTGCTTGTTTGCTGTTAGGTGCCACCAAGTCAATTGCAACTCAGAGTGACCCCATGTGACAGAGGACTGTCGCCTTGGCTATAGGCAGCAAACATCCAGTCTTTCTCACACAGCGCCTCTGGGTGGCCTGGCAGCAGGATGTTTAACCCATTGTGCTTCAGGGGCTCCTTGCATTAGTTCTTACCTCTGTGTCATGGCACCTCCTCAGAGGCCTTCCCTGACCTCCATCACCCTTTACCTGCCCGGCTTTATCTCCTTATGGCAGGGATCACATCTCCCTCATCAGCTCCCTTGGGGCTGCGACTGTGGCTGGAATATACGTGCTTGACACACGTGAAGCATCTGTGATTTTCAGAGGTTATGTAGCGTAGTAGTTATGAATTGTGCTGCGAACCTTAAAGTCAGAAGTTTGAAACTACCAGCCGCTCCGCGGGAGAAAGATGAGGCTTTCTGCTCCTGTAAAGATTTACAGCCTCGGAAACCCTGTACAGGGTCACTATGGGTTGGAACCGACTCAATGGCACTTAACAACAACAATGTACTACTGTTCCTGTCACAAACACCGCTCAAATAATGTGACTAACTGTCCCAAGACAGCAAGGAGCTCAGGTCACGCAGTGGGTGGGTTACGAGTTGGGCTGAGGGGGAAAGATGAGCCTTTCTGCACCCCTAGAGATTCCTGTACAGGGTCACTATGAGTCAGCACCCACCTCAAAGTCTATCACCCCACAAAATAAAACAGAGGATATTCTTTCCTTCTAAAAAGGGTTTGTGGTTGTTAAGTGCCGTTGAGCCAGTTCTGCCTCATAGCGACCCTGTGTATGGTTTCTGAGGAGCAGCTGCGGGGTTTGAATTGCCGACCTTACAGTTCAAATTACCTTGCAGTTCAGAGTTGATGCTAAAGCATTTTATAAATTTATCAGATTACACTTGAATAAAAAGTCATCTCCTTTGAAGGTCCTGTTCCCCCCCAGACCCCCTACACAGACATGCCAGTATAGTAAACTAGGAATTTTCTTTTCAAAACACAGGCATTATGACAATATGACAATGTGACCCATACCCAGCCCCTGATGGCAGGCCAGCCTGGGAACGGCCTGCCCGACCCTAGCAATACAGACCTCTGTGTGGTGACCACCTTGAGTACCACACAGACTGGGCGCTGGAAAGATGGGCCTATTCAAATCAGAGACCACAAAAGAAACCATCTTACTGATGACTCATTTATTTGGACAAAAACATCTCTGTCCTGTGTCCTTTTATACAGAAAGTGGAACGTTTCAAATATATTAGTTTTTCTCTTTTTCAACAGAATTCATTTCAATCTGGTGGCAGGAGCTGCTTCTCGTTCTAGGACTCACGTTTCAGTAACACATATGCACCCATCACAGCCAAAAGCGCATACTATAAAGGAAACACAATAGAAAAGGTGAGGGTTTTTTATAATACATTTAGAAATGTATTCAGATGAAGTCTGTTCAATACTAGGCTTGAGCACACCATCAAAAGATGCCCTCTTCACCCTGGCCTTGCCCTCAAGCTTGCTGTACAATGCTGCATTATGGTTAAAACTCCTAAAATACATGGCTGGACCAAGGCTCAAACACTGACCAGAGCTAATGTACTGCTTAGTGCTGTGTGGGTTTCTCATTCTTTGTCAAGTGATTAAAACAAAACTGACTAACCACACTGAGATTGGGTGATGGATGCACAGTATAGGGCTCATGTGGTGTTGCTGTTGAGTCCGGTCCGACTCCTGGTGACCCCAGGTGTGCAGAGCACAACGGCGCCATAGAGCTTTCCTCTCAGAAACAGATCTTCCAAGGTGCCTCTGTGGGGGTATGAACCACTCACCTTTCAGCTACTAGTTAAATGCTTAGCCAGCAGCACCCCCAAGAGATTCGGGCCTATTGTCTTACTCTAGTTCTGTGTGTGTTTGAACATTTTTATAATAAAAAACAAAAAACATATAGATGTCATTTTAAAAAGACACCTATGAACATAAAAGATGAAAGTGGTTCTTTTAAATACTTCATATTGGTAATTTAAATGATGATATGAATCTGCAGTTGACTAGAAATCCTGTGCAGAATAATTAACTAGAAGACATGTGAAGAATACTTCCCCTCCCCAGCACTTTTACAGACAGCTCCATTCATTGTAAAGTTCCACTATTATGAAACACACATGCACAAGTCCTTACCTTGAATTTTGGATAATCATTCATTATTATGGTAACCATACCAACATACGGCAAAAACCTAAATTATAAGACAAAAATCAATTATTTTTAATGATTACCACAGCAACTAAACACAATCTACATCATCTTAGGAAGCAAATCTTCCTGGAGACTTCCACTGATTAGGACTGTAAAAACAATCTTTGAAGATCAATGACCCAAAAGGCTTTTCAAGTAAAACAACAAAACAGAAACACCCATGAAAGCTGGGATGATTACACAAAGATGATCATTAAGAGCCTTAATCACAAAGCTGTTTTTAGTAGGAAAACACTATATAATCTAACTGCCCATCAAAGCATACTGCTACAATATTCAGTGGTACAGTATATAGCCAGTTGTTGTTGTTGTTGTTAGGTGCCATCAAGTTGGTACTGACTCATAGCCACCTTATGCACAGCAGAATGAAACACTGCCCAATCTGGGCCAACCTCACTACTGTTGTCACACTTGAGTCCATCGATGCTGCCACTTAGCCAATCCATCTCATGGGGGGGGGGGGTTTTCTCTTTTTCTCTGACCCTCCACCTTACCAAACATGATATCCTTCTCCAGCAACTGGTCCCTCCTGACAATATGTCTCAAGTATGAGAGAGAAAGCTTGGCTGGCCATCCTAGCCCCCAAGGAGCACTCTGGCTGTACTTCTTCCAAAACGGATCTATTGGTTCTTTTGGCAGCCCATGGCACTTTTAATATTCTCCTCCAACACCATAACTCAAAAACAGAGATTAATTTGGCACAGAAAGCTATTTTCAACTTCTTATTAGATAAAAAATCAAATTCTGTGTAAAATTACATTACATATGTACACACATGTGTGCATACATACACACACGTCTCATAGAGGCACAAACTGAGAACATTTACATTATGTAGTGGTCAGTCTGGGAGGATTTCTAGTCCCTGTTGTTTGAAACCCACAACCAATCTCTAGGTAAGAATTGTATCTAAAATAGAATTAGACTCACTGTATAGACAACGTGCTGTTGTTGTGTGCCACTGCGTCGATTCCTACTCACAGCGACCCCATAGGACAGAGTAGGCCCTATAGTGTTTCTGTGGTACTGTAGGATCAGCACTGGACTGTGAACCACACAGTCAATGGTTCAAACCCACCAGCTGCTCCTCGGAAACCCTATACAGGGTCACTATGAGTCGGAACCAACTCGATGGCACTTCACAACAACAATCTTTATGACAGCAGACTGCCAAATCTATTCTCCTGTGGAGCTTCTTAAGGGTTTGAACAGCAAACCTTTCAATCAGCAGCCAAGCGCTTAACCATGGTGCCAATCATACTCCTCAAAGATAACAAAGGAGATTTCAAAAAGCTCGTGGGAGAATTCCATTCTCTTTTCATTCCAATTCCCCATGAACTTGGCAAATTTCTGGTACCTAGATTCAGTTTTTGGCTCTAGGTTCTCCAGAAGTTCTGTTTGTGTAGCCTTCACGATGCAAACGCAAACAATCCACAACTCTCCTGACGCACAGCTGCTGGGAATGAAGGGCTCTGTTGTCCTTCCAGCTCTGCCCGTCTCTACCTGCCCTTCTGGTTTCTGAGTGTCCGAGTTCATGGAGGCAGCTGGTACTCACCCTCTGGCTCTGCCCACCACGTCCTTCTTTTCGAGCCAGTTCTGGCCTTCTTTGTACAAGCCCCTGTCGTCCACCTCGTTGTTGTCTCCCTTCGTCAGGAACTTGATGTCGCCACTCTCTCTGGAGAGCAAAACAGCATCCTCTCAAAAACCATTTTCCATTCAGCATCATGAAAACCTGCTGTTAGTTTACTACTGACCTTACAGTCATCCAAGAGCATTCAGGATAACAAAGAACACTTGCCTTAACCTGAGATGACTGCTGACGGATACCCATTCCCTGAAGCAGCTCTAATGGCAATTCTAAAGCATACACTCACTCTAAAATATACAAGCACCTCTGACACCCGACCAGCAGCTTGGCAGAGCGTCATTGGGAAGGTGATGACTAGTACCTGGCACCACCTATGAGGGAGAAAATGTTGGCACCTAAGTTCTCTTCAAATCTGAACACAAGGTAACTCATGCTACGCACCAGCAGACTAATAAGTCCTGTGCATTAACCGCTGTGCACATCTTCAAAGTCTCAATCCCCCAAACTCTGAAATGTTGCCTATGGTTGAGTGATGTGCATGCTCACTCAGGTTGTTTTGTCTCTAGAAAGTCGAGATGTTCTGGGTTGGATTTGAACTGTGTTCATCTCCTCAGCCCCTAGCACCCCCTTGTCAGAATGGATCATATTCCTCTCCTCTCTCGACATGAACTTGGTCCCAGGTCTCGAAGACTTGAGCACAAGGTAGTTCAGACACCAGTGTGCTCTCAGCTCTCATCACACTTAACTTTTCCTTCCTTGGCAAATGGGTGACGTGTTGATGCATGACTTTCATCACCACTGAACAGAAAAACATGAAAACCAAAATGCACTGTTTTCAAGTCAATGCCAACTCACAGCGACCCTGTTGGGCAGAGCAGAACTACCCCATAGAATTTCCAAGGCTGTCAATCTTTACAGGGACACACAACCTCGTCTTTCTCCCAGGCAGCAGCTTGTGGGTTCAAACAGTGAAGCTTTTTGATTAGTCAAACGCTTAACCCACAGTGCCACCAGGGATCCTTACAACTGAGTAGAGTGGTATAAGATCCAGATAGAGAGGAGATGGGGATCACAAATGGCATAAAAGCAGTGTGGCAGAGACATGAGGGGTTCGTTCAAAAGCTTCTAACCTGGTGCTCAGACAGGCTCGACACAAGAAACACAGGACCACAGCATTATACAGCTTTCGAGGCAGGAAGACCAATGAAACCGTGTAATCAGAAAGGATGTGAGACTCCCACAAGTCTTAATCTATAAATCTTACGTCAGTATGACCAGATTAATAGGACTCTAAAGGCAATGGAGTCTTCTCTACAATAAACAATCCTCACTTGCTCAATTTCATCCTTAGACAGTTTTTCACCTTTAGTGATTTTTGTCAAGCTGGCTAAGACTGTGTCACATGATGACCAAGGGTGCTGCTATGCCTGCGGGCTGATGTGGACACACCAGGTAAGGTGTACACACGGGTAAGGTGTACACACGTGTATGGTGTACACACGGGTAAAGTGTACACACCGGTAAGGTGTACACACTGGTATGGTGTACACACCGGTAAGGTGTACACACTGGTAAGGTGCGAGGGGCTAACACAGATGGAAGCCGAGTCACTCAAATGTTGAACGTGTAATGAAATGACAAACTGAAGGAGCAAGACCTTTGGGTGACACCTGAAAGCAATGAGTAGAAGGGAATCTAATACTGGAAATGTACAACTCTTACATCACATACACATGCAAATATGTGCACACACACAGAGGGAATGAGAACAGCCTCATTATTTTAAAAACACACTGTTGTTCCTAAATTCCGTCAAGTCAGTTCTGACTCATAGCAACCCTGTGTAGGGTTTCTGAGAGTATCGGTGGGTTTGAACTGTGAACTTTTCTGTTAGCAACCCCATGCTTACCCTACAGCACCTTGCCAGAACCACTAACAAGCAGTTCAATTTAAAAGAACCAAAACACTTCACTGGCACGGAGTCGATTCTGACTCCCAGACCCTAGGTCACCTGGCTGTCATGATAGCCCTGTGGTGTTGTGACTGAGCTCAGCGCTGCTCCAAGTCATCCAATCGTCCATGGCAGAGCCAGGAGCACTCGCTGGTGCTCACTCTACAGCTCACAAAATACAACCATAAAGAAGGAACGCCTCTTTACTTTTCATGGACTTTGATTACTCTGTGAACTATTGGAATGTCTCGTCCTTCGACTTTAAAGACAACTATTTCGCCAGCTCTGATGGGGTCTTCCCGGAAGTTGGTCAGGAAGAGAAGGTCTCCTCTGTGGAAGGCTGGCTCCATGCTGCCACTAGAAGGAAGCACAAAACACACATGAGGATTAGCCTGCATTCAAAGGGGGCAGTGTGTCAGTTTATAACGAACAGAATCAGAAACACAGCCAGCTAGAGTTTATGCATGCTCACTAGTCAGGTACTTTGGATAAAGTGTAAAACAAGCCATGGGGTTTCCCTCTGGCCTCATAAGGTGAAGCTCAGTGAGACAGGATACAATGGCCTCTGGGATTCTAGTATGAAGAGGACACTCGAAAGCTCCTCTGTACTTGTATTACTGGGGAAAATGTAACAAGAATAATGCGGACGCTCTGTAGTAAAGCTAACAATTTGGCCTAAAGGAAAAAAAATCTTACTTACATATATTATACTCACATATATTATACTCTAGAGACAATGCCTTCATTTTACAGCATTTCCCCAGCACCTCTGATACTGAACTACAGTTTCTCAAGGGATGATAAATAAACAAATGAATAAACTTAGGGAAGAGAGTGGAGACCAAATTCTGACCCAAATCTCTGGCTGCACGGTATGAGAAAGGGGCCCAGTGGAGGGAGCGGGTGCTGGCCTCGGCTCCTACACTGGTCAGTGGTGCCTCGACCAAGATGTTGTTGTAGCCCACTCATCTTTATCCATCCATCCACAAACATCTATGTATCTACATACATACCGACATCCATCCATCCATATATCTATCTACATATGTCTATCTGTATCTTCTGCACAGTACATCTATCTACCTACACACATTGTTTTCTATCTGTGGACATACATACAACTATCGATCTATCCACTTATCTATTCCCACCAACAGTGACATTCTATGAAAGGAAATGCACTGAGCAGACACATCCTGAAGCCTCTAGAAGCTCCAATCTGAAATGGGATGAATTACGGCGGCTTGATGCTTACACTGACTCCAGTGGTAACTTCTGTAAGGAAATGGGCTGTACTTTCACAAACACGCGGTTTGAGATGAGGAGCCATCTACAACAGTTTGCTGAGGGAGCGTGAGAAAATACTTGATGCCAAGTAGGCAGTGGGGACACACACACCTGTCTATTTTTTGTTGTTGTTAAGCACCATCAAGTCAGTTCTGACTCATAGAGACAGTGTATAGGGTTTCTGAGGAGCAGCTGGCGGGTTTGAACTGCCGGCCTTGTGGTTTACAGTCCAGGGCTGATCCCACAGTGCCACACCAAGAGTCCTCTCTATTTGGTATAAAGAAAATCAAGTGATAGTTGTCAAGTGATTATGTGTACAAGCTAGTCTGTACATACATAATGTATCTACATTATACTATTATATAAGTAAATTGTCACTTTAAGTAGATTAAACCAATCAAAAAACCATCGCCACTGAGTTGATGCTGACTCCTAGTATCAACTCAGGATCTATAGGATTTGTGAGACTGTGAATCTTTCCCAGTCTAAAGGCAATGGAGACAGCCTCAGCTTTCTCACAAGAGAGACTGGTGGCTTTGAACTGCTGACCTTGTGGTTAGCAACCCAGCACCTACCCCACAGTGCCACTATGGCTCCTTACGCGATTAAAACATCACTTAAAATACAGGAGCAAGCTGCGGCACCACTGCTGGTGCCCTGGCATTAACATCTGAGTTGTGGTGTTGGAGGGGAGCATTCACTTACCACAACTGCCAGAACAAAGCAATATGTGCTGGAGAAGTACAGCCAGAATGCTCCTCAGAAGGATGGGGAGACTTCGTATCTCACCCTTCGGACATGTTATCAGGAGGGGGCAGTCCCTGGAGAAGGACATCATGCTTGGTACAATGAAGAGTCAACAAAAAAAAAGGAAGGCCTCAACGAGATGGACTGACACAGTGTCAGCAACAATGGACTTAAACGTAACACGTGTGAGGCCGGCCCAGGCCCAGGCAGTGTTTTGCTCTGTTGGGATGGGGTAGCTGTGAGTCAGAACTGACATGACGGCACCTAACTACAACAGCAGCAGTCACATAACTAAAGCTCTAAGATACCTACTGAAAAGTCATAAAAAATGAAGTCTTAAAACAGATGTCCATGGGAATGCTCCGGTCTATAAACGACCAACGTGGTGCGGGTCTCTCAGGCCCTGCGGGGACGTACCTGAGCACAACCACGATGGGGCTCTCGCTGCCCGTCAGGACAATCAGACCTTTCCAGATCATGAGTGCAGACGACACAATCATGGCGAAGTTCAGGACCTGGTAGTAAAGCTGTAACAAGAAAGGACAGGCCAAGTGTGAGAACAGCAGACTAGCCACCCGGCTGGAGACGCGTTTACAGAAAACGGGTCAGGACAGGGGACGGATCCAGACAGAGGACAAAATTACACAGCATTCAAGAGTCTCCCAGATGTCACCACTGCTGCCAAGCTTATGCCAACTCACAGTGCTCCCTAGAGGACAGAGGAGAACTGCTCCACAGGGTTCCTGAGACTGTAAATCCTGTTTATCTCTTCACTTTTTATTAACAACAACAACAAACTGTGAACTGATGAAAGCTTCCAGAGCAGATCATCAGCTTCAAAAATCATGCCTTTTGTTTCATCTCAGTGACTGCACCCGCCTCACTGGACCATCACCTGTACCACTTCCTCTGTGAGTCTTGTTTCCATCCCTTCTTCTCTGGGTCCTTGTATCAATGCTGCCATTCTGATCTGGCATGGCTGGCCATCCTACGGTGAGCACGCCTCACTGGTGTTGGTGTGCTCCCTACAGTCCTGTCTAGTGCGTAGCGGAGTTCACTTCCAGAGCTGAGGGTGACCAAGGGCCGTGGTCCCCAGGTTTCACCTGTCTCTATCTAGCCAGAAATCCTAGTCTTTTTAATGATTTTGAGTTTTGTTCCACATTTTCTCCTACTCTATCCAGGACTTTCTTTCAGAGCCGGACACCATCTAGTTCTTTTGATTTCAGGGGAGACTATAAATCTTTTTAGGGCGCTGAAAGCCTCATCTTTCTCCCACAGAGCAGCTGGTGGGTTTGAACTGCCGACCTTATGGTTAATGGTCTGCCAGGGCTCCTTTAGGTGACAGTAAAGGAGGAAACAGCAGATAAAACCTCAGTAAGGTTAAGATTTTCCACCACCTTAAACCCTAAAGCGGAGTAAGGTAAGCGCTGGACAGCAAGGTCTTTCTGAACTACAAGATGGCAGTTCAAACCCACCAGCCCCTTCCTTGGAAACCCTATATGGAACCAAGTCAATGGCACTTAACAACAACAACAAACACTAAAACAGGAGTCCCTGGGTGGCATAAATGGTTAAGCTCTCAACTACTAACCAAAAGGCTGGCAGCTGGAATTCACCCAGAGGCACCTCAGAAAAAATGCCTGGCGATCGACTTCTAAAAGATCAATCACATCCACTGAAAACTCTATGGAGCTCTGTTCCGCTCTGACACACATGGGGCTGACTCACAGGAACTGGTTGTTGTTTGTTTGTCTGTGAAGCCTGAAAGGCTCGTGAATGACGCTTTACCCCCAGAGCCTGCACTCTCGACTCGGGTCACTGTTCCAGATAGAGAGCCAGGTCTGGGCTGGGAGCCTGGGAGTCACCAAGAACTCTCCCAAAGATGGCCTCAAATAGAGACCAGAGACCATGAGGATGCCATGCTGCCACTGAAATTTACATTTTAAAAGTAAACAAAAAAGTTAAAAAACCTAGATGTTCAAGTTTCCCATAAATGTCTTTAAAAGGTGAGCAAGCAGTATTTGGCTAAGAACACTGGTTGGGAAGGGGCACTAGGGGGAATCAGTCATTTGCCTGAGTCCTGGTGTAGCGCTGTGGGTTAATGCATTGGATTGCAAAGTTGGGTTGAACTACAAGGTCGGTGGTTCAAGCTCACCAGTTGCTCCCTGGAAACCCTATACAGGGTCACTATGGGTCAGAACCGACTCGACGGCACTTAACAACAACAACAACAATGTTGGCTATGACGGAGCTTTAAGCTGACCTCACTCTACCTTAGACACTGAGTCTAGACCCCATGGCTTGTCCCACTCCTTCCCTGTGTCTCACATGCTAAAGCACAAAGCTCTTGCCTGCTGACTGCTCCCTCCACACAGGCCAGCACCTGGGGACTCAGGCCACGTGACCCCTGCCCATGTCACAAGTTCTTGTCCTCAGGCTATAGGTGAACTGCTAGGTCGGAAAGCTCACCTTCCTCCAAGAGACTACAGAGACTAAATCCACCGTGTCAGGCCTCGGCGCTCTGAACATAAGCCCCTAGGCACCTGCCTGACTGCCCTCCAGGGAGGCTCCTGACTTGGGTAAGGCCTCTGTCCTCTTCACACTCTGCTTCTGCCCCAGGGATCATCTTGAAGAGTGTCACAAAGCATGAAAACAGAGTCTGATTTGGCATAAAGTGGGGAAAAGAAACTCTCTGTTAATATTATGACTATAGGAAATGATGCCATTAAAACAATTATGAAAGAGAAATGCAAACAATTAAGATATTTAGATGGGACAAATAATGGAAAATGAAATGTACTTCAAAATGGAAGTTATACACCACTTTGAAAATAAGTTGGTTCCTGTGTCAATAGCAAATGATGAAACTATCATTATATCCCCATGAGAGCGAAAACAGAAACTGGAGGGCTCAGCGGACACTGCTGGTGTTACACAGCTGCCTCTGAGACAACACCAACCTGGGACGTCATAGTCAAGAAAGTCCCACCTGCCCGGCTTGACCTAAAAGGCTAGATCAATAATCAAGGCACCACTCAGAACCACAGTACTGACTAGGAAGGCCCCCAGGCCATTTCTAGACTGGTTTTCAAACCATCTGGCTCCACCCGAAAAAAGCACTCTTGCTGCTTTGCTAATGAAGATCTCATACTAAGAATAGATGCTTGAAAAATTCATTGAGAGAAAGTAAAATTAATTCCCTAAAAGGACTTCTTTTGAGGAATACATCTATCTGCTGCAGAAATGCCCAAGTACACAAAACCCTCACAACTGGGCTACCAGAAACCACAGAGCACACTGCCAATAGCCCACCTTTGGGCAGAGCAGAGTGTAGGTTTGGAATCCTGGAAGCTAGAACCTAATTTTGATTGAACTATTGACACGGCTGAACCACATCTAGAAAACACTCCGTGACATTTCACTTTGACCCACAAACTCTGTCTGCTCAGCACACTTATACTCAGCAACTGTCACCCAAAGATGAGATAGCCAGAGAGTTCTAAAGCAACATTCCCAACAAGACATCCTGGCTTCCGGAGCAGCAGAAATGCCAGTAGCTCTATTTCATCCTCTCTTCCTCATGGCAGAAACAAAGAATCCTTGTCCTGCATGTAGCTCTTGCCTTAGCTCATAGTAAGCCAGGGAGGCAGAGAAAGGTGATCCCACTTCCGAAACTGGTAACACAAGCATGCTTGACAAGGTGTCACAAACAAGGTATTGGACAGTGAGAAGGGAGGGGGGGGGGAATAAGCAAAAAGATAAAGCTTTTAAAAGGACCAGGAAGCAGGGGGTTTGAGCTTCTGAATTTTAATGAGAAGTCTAGAAAAACATTAGCAATGTAACCAGCTACTGATAGGTCTTATCTCTGAGGTTGGAAACACAGAGTTTTCAAAAGTCAGACTTTTGGATTAGTGATTGACACATCAAAAGGCCTTTTCTGATAATATGTGATCATAAGCATCTGTAATCAGTAGCAAGGTTAGAGATATTTTCAAAGTCTAGCCAGTAAGTCTAGGTTTTAAAATAAAGCACAGTTTCCTGGAGGATTTTCTTGTGAATAACATTAATGCTCAGCTCATGAGCCGTTTCTTTTTCAAACTAGTAACGTCAGGGAGCACTGGAGATGCTGTGGAATAAGGACTGAACTGCTAACCCCAAAGGTTGGCAGTTAAAACCCACCAGCCACTCTGCAGGAGAAAGATGAGGCTTTCTGCTCCTGTAAATACTTACAGCCTTGGAAACTCTATAAAGGGTAGCTATGAATCGGAACAGACTCAACAGTCCTTAACAATAATGTTAGGAACCCTGGGGTTAAGTGATAGGCTGGTTTGAAACCACTATTTGCTCCTCAGAGGAAAGATGTGGCAGTAAGCTCCGAAAGAGATCGAATTCTTGGAAACCCAGTGGGGCAGTTCACTCTGTCCTACGGGGTTACTAGAAGTTGGAATCAACTTGTTATAGCTCATCCTAGTTAGTTTATGAAATTCACTAAACTCTCCCACACTACTGCATTCATGTGAAGTTCTTCTTGAAAGAAAAGTACCACTTATGCCCACAGGCCTAAATTGTTTCCTTCCATATCCCACCAAAGGAGCTCTGGTAGCGTAGTGGTTACGAATCAGGCTGCTAACCTCAAAGTCAGCAGTTCGACACTACCAGCTGTTTCGTGAGAGAAAGATGAGGCTTTCTGCTCCAGTAAAGATTTACAGCCTCGGAAACCCTGTACAGGGTCACTATGAGTCGGAATCGACTCTTCGGTACTTAACAACAACAACAACTACATACCCACCAACCCACTCCTCAACACAATGGAACACATGAAACAATATGCTGTCAGAATCATGAGAATTAATAATATTTTCTAAGACAATTAAAACCCCGAAGTAGGAAGGTCTGCTTTTCTAACAAAATTTATTAGTAGAAGGCGGAAGACGGGTTAGGGGAGGGAGATGAAGGCACAAATGGTTAAGTGCTGGTCAGCTGGAGGAAAGATCAGTGGTTGGAATCTACCCAGAGGTGTCTCAGAAGGCAGCTCTGATCATCTGCTTGCTAAAGGTCACAACCTTGAAAACCCAAAGGGGTATGGGGTTGCCATGAGTCAGAAATGACTCTATGGCACCTAACAGTAGTGATGTTTCAGCCATCAGATTTGGGGCCTATGGGAACCGTGAATTCTATATCTAGAGGCTTACGCAATTGCATCATTTTTTCCGGTTGAGAGGGTTTCCTGTCCAATTCATACTCACTCTTGCCTTATATTGGGGAAGTAAGGAGGAGGTGGCTATGGGTCAGAACTGACTCTACGACACTTAACAACAACAAGGAGGAGGTAAGGCGTCCTGGTGTGGGGCTAGATAAGCACTGGACTGTTAACTGCAAGGTTGGCAGTTCAAATCCACCAGCCGCTTCTCGGAAATCCTATATAGGGTCACTGAGTCAGAACCAACTAGAGGGTACTAACGACAATAAGAACCCAAAGACACTGAAGCTGGACAGTCGCTGATTAAAGAAGGCGCAAGAGGGCAGCTCTGGTAGTGTAGTGGTTACTAGTCGGCTGCTAACCGCAAGGTCAGCAGTTCGAAACTACCAGCCGTTCCGCGGGAGAACGTTGAAGCTTTCTGCTCGGAAACCCTGTGCAGGGTCGCTATGGGTTAGAACCGACTCCACGGTACATCACCAAGAGGGCAGTTTGGCTCCCAGGTCCTCTAACAGAGGAGAGAGAACCCAGTCCGCGCGGCCCAAAGAGCCCACCCGAGCTGCCTCCATGCCCAAGGGCAGCCATAAGGATGGAATCTGAAATGAAATGAGAGGAGTTTTCTGGAATCCCTTCTGGAACACGGATTCGGCCCCACTGACTGAGCGCCAACTGTGTACTCTCTAGGAACAAGGAGCCCTGGTCTTGACAGATGGTCAGCGCTGACCGGGTGGGAAGAACTGGACCGCTCCCCTTGTCAGAAGTTCTTCCCTTTCCACCTTCCTTCCTCCGGGCCTCGGAAGCCCCACGGAGCAATCGGTTCCCTCTTCCAAGGAGCGGCCCTGCACACACGTGCAGACAGCTGTCATTCCCGCCTGGCCATCTCTCCTTAGCACCGGGATGCCATGCTCTTCCCCGTTCTGACCATTCTGCCCAGGTCGTAGTCTTGTTAGTGCAAGGAAACATCCACACGTGGTCTGGCGGATTTGAACCCAGAGAGGTTCAAACCTCTGAGAGGTCGCCGCCCGGCCCCCGGTGCACCAACTACATGGCTGGAGCCCCAACACTCCGAGCCCCGACTCCCCGCAGTCCGGGCTCAGCCCCGGGAGAGCTCCCCCCGCGCGGCTCAGCTACCTGGCGCTTGTTCATCTTCCTCAGGTCCCCGAAAATGTCCAAGCCGGACGTGGGGAGATGTGTCCCCACAGGGCCCGCGCGCACCATGGCGAGGTCGCGGGGGGCCGAGGCGGCCTGCGGGCTCTGGTTGTCACCGGACAGCTGCAGAGCACCGCCCGGCCCCCGCCCACCAGCTAGCGTCCTAACCCACCAAGGCGAGCCCGCCCTCCGGCGTGGGCCACGCGACCGAAGGCTCGTTCTAGGGTCTGGGAATCGTAGTCCCGTGAGTCTTGGCCTCCAGTTTATCTAGGAAGAGTCGGGAGAAAGAAAACTACCAGCCCCAGAATGCTGCAGGGCGAGAGCTCGTCCAGTGAGGACCCGGAGGCGCTCTAGGGGAGGGCAGCGATGAGGCTCGGGGAACCTCGTCGGTGCTTCCGAGGAACTTAGAAAAGAGTGTGATTCTGCATATCTCAGGGTGTAGTTCAGGGACGTGACAACTCAAGAGGAACAGAATTTCTTAAGGCTCTGGTCAGGCGCCAAGAAGACACCTAAAGCTCCCTCGTATTCACCTAGCCGTGTATCTTGGCCATTGGATGACTGAGACAGGGAAGGCGGGGCCTCTACGCTTGGGGCGGGCTGTGCTGAAACGGGGAGGAGCCCAAAGACGAGCATGGCAGTGGGCGGGGCCTGAAAGAGGCGGAGCTTTTGAAGTTGCTGAGTTCAGCGTTCAGGTCATTTTGACTATAGTTATATCACAAAGAATATTCACTTAATGAGTAAATAAACTAATTTTATATGAGAAGGCAAGGAGCTTTGGTAGCCTAGTGGTTACGAATTGGGCTGCTAACCTTAAGGTCTAGCAGTTCGAAACTACTGTAATGCCCAGATTTCAGGGTCCCCAAAGACCACCAAGGAGCCATCGCAGATGAAAATACATAAGGGTTGTTTATTCAAGCTCATGCCAGCCTGGACTCCACCTGCATCCAAGCCCTGAACCCTTTGTCTGCGGGGCAGGAGGGGACTATAGAGTTTTCAAACAAGCTCGGGTTTCTCAGCTTTACAATTTTTGAATTGGTTAACAATTGGCAAACTATGAGATGTTACAGTTTAATTGGTCAGGACTGGTGGTCTTTGTTCTTAGGCTAGGGCAAAGGAAACATCTGGCATCTGGACTTGAGCTGCCTGGCTATTTATACATATATCATTTTCTTGGAGCTAGAGGACATGCTAAAGCTTACATACAAAATGGATTATTCTCTTTGGTCCTATACTACCAGTCGTTCCGCGGAAGAAAGATGAAGCTCCCTGTAAAGATTTACTGCGTTGGAAACCCTCAGTCGGAACCGACTCCACGACACATAACCACCACCACCACCAAAGTAAAATGGCAGTCTGGAAGAAAACTAAAAAATGTCCAAATTTTGGATTTCCTGATCCTGGATTACCTTTAGTTCATTCATTCATTCATCGTGTATGCATTATTTATTTCACTCATTCACGTATTCACAAATATTTATGGTGCATCTACTATGAGCCTTCCACCACTCACCTGTCAGTTTGTCGTACTGTGGTGGCTTGGGAGTTGCTGTGATTCTGGAAGCTATACCACGGGTATTTTAAGTACCAGCAGGGTCACCCATGGTGGACAGGTTTCAGATGAGCTTCCAAATGAAGACCAACTAGGAAAAAGGAGAGACGAACTACTTCTGAATATTTAGTCACAGAAAACCTTATGAATAGCAGAGAGACACTGTCAGAGAGAGTGCCAGAAAATGAGCCCCTCAGGTTTATCAATGGAGAAAAGATTGAAGTTGTCAAGGACTTCATTCTTCTTGGATCAACCATCAACAACCATAGAAGCAGCAGTTAAATCAAACATATAGTATTAGGCAAATCTGCTGCACAAGACCTTTTTAAAGCATTGAAAGGCAAAGATGTCAGCTTGAGGACTAAGGTGCGCCTGACCCAAGCCATGGTATTTTCAATAACTTTCATATGCATATGAAAGCTGGACAGTGAATAAGGAATAGCGTAGAAGAATTGATGCTTTTGAGTTATGGTGTTGGAGGAGAATATTGAAAGTGCCATAGGCTGCCAAAAGAACCAATAGATCTGTGTTGGAAGAAGTGCAGCCAGAGTGCTCCTCGGAGGCCAGGATGGCTAAACTTCGTCTCTCATACTTCAGACATATTGTTAGGAGGAATATCACTGGAAAGGAATATCATGTTTAGTAAGGTGGAGGGTCAGAAAAAATGAGGAAGACCCCCAGCGAGATGGATTCGCAAAGTGACAGCATCAATGGGCTCAAGCGTGGCAACAATCGTGAGGTTGGCCCAGGACCGGGCAATGTTTCATTCTGTTGTGCATAGGGTCGCTATGAGTCTATACCGACTCAATAGCACCTAACACCACCACCAAACTATGAGCCTGGACCTTTTTGATGAACCAAAGAAAGACCCTTATATTCTAGCATAAATTAGTACATCTTTATTTAACCTTTCCTCATCTTAAAATATGGACTGTGGCATTTACTGTCCCATGTGGTTCTTGTTAAGTGCCGTCCAGTCAATGCCAACTCATAGCAACCCTGTATAGGTTTTCTGAGGAACCCTGGAGAGTTTGAACCACTGGCCTTGGAGTTCAAACTGACCTTTCAGTCCAGTGCTTACCCAACAGTGCCACACCAGGACTCCTGTCTCTCCAAGAAACAATGTGACTCTCTTGAGAAGAAACCATACTTTTTAAATTTTCATCCACGGCAGCAAATACCCATACCCAAACCCACTACCATCGGATAATCCTACTCATAGTGGGCGCTATAGGACAGAGTAGAACTGCTCCTTGGCGTTTCCCCTGAATTTATAAGGGAATAGACAGGCTCATCTTTCTCTGTGAAGCAGCTGGTGGATTTGAACCCCAGACCTTTTTACTAGCAGCTCAGTGCTTAGCCCATAGTGCCATCAGGGCTTCTTAGCAGCAAAGACAGTGTCTGGCAAATAAGAGTACGTTAGTAGGGGAGGAGTCCGGCTCTTTGCTTTAAAGCAGCACTTCAAATCTGTTCATTCTTATACATTAGAATCACCTGAGGATCTTATTTAAATATGGATTTTTGATTCAGTAAATCGGGGGTAGAAAACAGGAGCCCTGGTAGGGCGATAGAGTAAGCACTGGACTGCCTCGGAAAACCCACACAGGGTAGCTATCAGTTGAAATCTACTCGGTGGCAGCAAGTTCGTTTTGGTGTTTTGAGGTGGAAAAAGCAAATTCTCAGCATGTGATCAAACCTGAATAATCCAGTCTCTGAGCCCTGCTAAAAACCGATGTGTAATATTTCAGGCTTTGTTGTTGTTAAGTGCTGTGGAGTCAGTTCTAACTCATAGCGACCCTGGAGGATTTCCGAGGCTGTAAATCTTTGCAGGAGCAAACAGCCTCATTTCACTCCCTCAGAGAGGCTAGTGGGCCCTGGCCTTGTGACTCGCAGTCCAACGCTTATCCTACAGAGCCACCATGCTCCCCTTTGTAGGCCGGACCATAGGCAATTAAAAGGCTTTACCCTACAGCCCCTGGGGAGGTGTGGTGGGGAGCTGTTCTCTTCAACCTTCTCAGGCATGGGTGCATAGCTCAGTGCCTTGCAGTCTCTGAAAGTAGTTACAATGGAGGACTCAGGTCCCACCCACCAGCCGTGCATGCTCTTTCAGGTAGCTGCAGTTTTAACCCAGGGACCTCCACAGAAGGGTTTTCCAATGAGGCGATAGGAGAGAATCTGGAAGACACTTTACTTTTGCACTCCTAGACCTTCCCTTTGACCTTCCTTTAGCCCTTGTTGTTGTTAGGTGCCATTGAGTTGGTTCTTACACATAACAGTACCAAACACTGCTGAATCTTTACCAGCCTCACAGTTGTTATTGGGTTTGAGCCCTTGTTGCGTCCACTGTGTCAATCCATTTCATTGAGGCTTTTCCTCTTTTTCACTGACCTTCCACTTTACCAAGCATGATGTCCTTCTCCAGGATGTCCCTCCTGAAAACACGTCCAAGGAACGAGAGACAAAAATCTCACTTTCCTTGCTTCTAAGGAGCGTTCTGGTTGTATTTCTTCCAAGACAGATTTGTATAGGGTTTCTGAGGGGTGGCTGGTGAATGCGGTTCAAACCAACCTGAGTTCAAGTGCTTATCCTATGGAGATACAGCAGTACTCACTGAGCAAATAATCCGAGAAACTGGATTATATGAAGAAGAATGTGGCATTAGGATTGGAGAAAGACTCATATTGGCAATTTGCAATATGCAGATGACAAACCTAGCTTGCTGTAAGCATTTAGGACTTAAAGTACTTACTGATGAATATCAAAGAGTATGCCTTCAGATGGATTGCACCTCAAAGTAAACAAAACAAAAATCCTCTCAACTGGACTAATAAATAACATCATGATAAAAGATCGAAGTTGTCAAAGACCTCATTTTGCTTGGACCTACAATCAACACTTATCGAAGCAGCGGTTAAAAACTCAAATGATATATTACATTAGGCAAATCGACCACACAAGTAGCAGTGTTCGAGAGCAAAGTTGTCAGTTTGAGGACTATGGAGAGTATGACCCAAGCCATGGTATTTTCAGTAACCTCACATGCATGTGAAAATTGGACAATGAATAAAGTAGACCATGTAAGAATCAATGCATTTGAATTAAGATATTAGCGAGGAATATTGAAAGTACCATGGACTAACAAATCTGTCTATACAGGGTTTCTATGAGTTGGAACCGACTCAGTGGCACTTAACAACTACAACAACGTACATACTGAATAAATATGGTGAAAGAATACAACTCTGGCACATATGTTTCCTGATTTTAAACCATCCAGTGTCCCCTTGTTCTGCTCGGACAACTGCCTCTTGGTTTATGTCCAGGTTCCTCATGAGATGAGCACAGTTTAGTGTCCTCAAATTTTCACAGTGTTGTCCATAGTTTGTGATGACCTACAAGTCAAATGCTTTTGCATAGTCAATAAAGCACAAGTAAACCTCTTTCTGGTATTCTCTGCTTGTAGCCAAGAACCATCTGACACCAGCAGTGATATCCCTCATTCCATGTGCTCTTCTGATTCTTCAGCCCTGGGATCCATAAAGCTGCAGAAGCATTTTGTTTAGGGTTCCACCAGCACTGG